ACATGGGAGTCCAGGAATGTAACCATTACACCAACTGCTGGTCCCCTAAATTTAAAATGTTTTAAATTAAAAACACTGATAAGGGACCAGCAGGTGGCATGGTGCTTAAGGCGCTGGACATTCCCACATGGCTGACCATGGTTCTAGTCTCGGACCTGGTGGCTCGCTCTCTCTCTCTCTGATCAAATTAACATAAAATGAATAAATATAAAATTAAGTAAAAATAATGAAAAAAACCTGGTAACAAGTGTCTGGTAGGTAGTATGTGCTCACTGTCCCAGACTCCTTTGTTCAGAAAGGCTTTAAGGTGAGCAGCCTCCCCTCCCATGGACCAGCTGTGGGGCCTCGTCCTTGACACCTGCTGTCACAGCTTTCAGATATCCATTCAGGGTGAGCCATCACTCATACACTTTCTTTAACAGTCTTTGCCAGAGGGTGCGTGGGCTAGCCAGATTTAGAGAGGGAGAAAATGAAAACCCCCGTGGGGTTTGGCACGGTCAGCCCCGCTTCACTTCTCCTGCTGTGGAACTTGGGGTGTGTATGCCCATGGGGCCAGTGTGTTTTTCAGGCCTCCTGGGTCCAGGACTTGAACTGGACAGTTGGCCACATGGGCTCCAGCTGCCTTCATCACTAGCTGGCCCATTCGTGTCTGTTTGGTATGCATGTTTGTATTTATTTATTTAGTTTTTAATTTGACCAGAGAAGGACACACAGAGAGAGAGTGGGAAAATGAGTAAGCGAGCTTCCAGGTCCAGGTCCAGAATTTAGACCGTGGTCAGCCGTGTGAGAGTCCAGCTCCCTTGACCACCACGCCATATGCCTACCCCATGTTTTGTTTCTGTTTTTTTTTTTTTTGCCTTAGAGTGCTTACTCACCAGAGACAGAGACCATGAGAGGAAAGCAAGAAATCACCTCTGGGGGGATGACCATGCCACAGTCCCTTCTCCATTTTCCTCAGGATTTTGGGCACACACACAGATATGCCTGGCGTGAGTTTTAAGCCGCCGGGTCCGGGACTCGAACCGTGGTTGACTGTTTGGGAGTCCAGTGGCATTAGCTATTATGCCATCCGCTGGTCCCACCACCTGCATTCATATCATGAGGCGCAGCGAGACACCCCAGAGCTGCTGTCGTACATGGCATTCTGTCCAAGCGAGGGTCTTGGTGCTTCTCTCATTCTTTGAGATGTCCTGGTGAACGTACCCAAACAGCTGGTTGTGGACAAGCCCTGTGGCCTGGTTAAGGCAGCTGGATCCCACAGTACCACCTGGCTTGAGAAACATGCTGGGCACGTGTGTGTGTGTGTTCAGAACCCTAAAAGGAAGGAGGATGGAAGAAAAGGGGTGTGCACGCCAACTCCCACGGGGCACCCTCTCTCCTCAGTGTGTCTTTCTCACTGGTGAGGAAACATGCTCTATAGCAAAATCCGAAGTAAGTAAAAGGCTGATCGAGGGTTTGTTCATTGCCAGAGTGCGTGTGTACTCAGGGGGCGGTAGAAGCCCTCCCTCCATGAGGCGTGGTCCGGGCCGTCCCTCCATTTCTCCTGGATAGGGTGGTGTGCAGTGCACGTGCCCACACCTGCTGCCTGGCCTGTGTCTCAAGCCACTGGAGCCAGGACTTGAACTGCGCAGTCAGTCACGTGGGGTCTGGCTGTTTGAACTCCCATGTCATGGAACTAATTCTCTCTCTCTCTCTTTAATGTAAGAAATCTCCAGACCCCACCTCCCAGGCTCGGATTATCGATGTGAGCTTCCTGTCTTGTCTCCGTTCTGCCCTTACTGTGCTGGGAGACCAGTTCTGATTACCTGTTCACAGATGCGTGGTCTGCTAGTTCTTAGTGAGACGTCCTCACTGAGAACCCCCTTCTGATGGGAACTGCCCTCGATTTGTCAGGACTGAGTGCAGGGACGCTGGAGCCAGGCACGAGGGCCCTTGCGTCCTGACTCCATCTCTTAGCAGCTTGGACCTTGTGTTCAGCCCTGAGTCCCATGTTAAGGCCCTGGGAACCCTGAGCTGTGGCAGCTCTGAGTGCTGACAGTGCCATTACTTCTGGGCAGGCGGATTGGGACCACACCACACAGCCCAGTGTGAGGCGTGATCAGCCTCCGGCTGCAGCCTTGGGGTCTGTGGAGCTGCCTGGTTTGACCTTGTGCTGGTGCCCTGCTCAAGGACTCCTGGGAGCGCATGCTCCTGACCTGAATGGCCACAGTGATCGGATGGCATTCCAGAAGTGCTAGGTTAGGGTCAGGACCCAGTTCTTCCAAGAGGATTTTGATCAGTTAAGTATTCTATTTAATTTAGAAGTCATTCTGGGGGCTAGCAGGTGGCATAGTGATTAAGGCACTGGATTCCCATGTAGACAACTGTAGTTTGAGTCCTGGACCTGGCGACTTAAAACTCAGGCTGGCACATGTACGTGCGTGTCCAAAATCCCAAGAGGAGAATGGAGGAGGAGGAATTGCGGTGTGGCCTGGGTGATTTCTTGCTTTCGGTCTCTTCGGTGAGCACATGCTCCCTGTAGCAAAAATCTCTGAAAAAGAAAAGAAAAGAGACTGATCTGAAACTGAGAGGCACTGTGAAGGAGGGGTAGTACTGGAAGCCGCCATTCACAGAACGGCACGGCAGCCGAGGGCCAGCAGGGGCAGGTGGCTGAGGCTCTGGACTCTCGCTTGGCCGACTGTGGCTCTAGTCCCAGACCTGGTGGCTGGCTTTCTCACTCTCTTTCTCTGGTGAGTGCACATGCCCTATAGCAAATAAAAGAAGATAATTAAAATTAAATATATTTTTAAAAAAACATGGCAGTCAGAAGGCCCCCTCCATGGTCAGTTTGTTCTCTGCTGTGAAGTTGATGGTTTAGTTCAAGGGTATCAGACGTGGCGTCTACGGCCACTTTCGATTCTGTGTAATATGCAGCCTCTGCCTAGCGGTTAAGGGAGCAGGTTCCCACATAGCTAGCTGGCCACAATTTGAGTCCCAACCCTAGAGGTTTGAAAGACAGGCTGGGGGACCAGCAGTTGGCGTAATAGCTACGTTGCTGGACTCCCATGTAGTTGACCATGGTTCGAGTCTGGGACCGGGTGGCTTAAAGTCACGCCGGGCGTGTGTGCCTACGTGCCCAAGATCCCGAGAGGAGAATGGAGAAGGGATTGCAGCGTGGCCATCCCCCTGGGGAGTGATTTCTCGCTCTCTGTCTCTCTGTCTCTCTGTCTGGCGAGCGCACGCGCCCTGTAGCAAAAACCGCTCTCCCAAGAGAAGACGGGCTGTGCACGTGGGCCCCAGACCCCGGTGGCTGGACGGAGGGGAGGCGTGTGACAGCCCCCTGGGAGGTATCCTCTGCACCCCGCTCACCTGCGGTGATTGAAGAAGAAAAGATGCAGGTGACCACTTCGCCTGTCGCAGCACGGGCAGGGCTGTCAGCCCCCTGGGCCTTTTCGGTGGTGGTCGCTACGTCTGGGGGACAGGAAGGCCCTGCGTGTGAGCCGGGCCCCAGGCCTGTCTGTTGAGGGCGGACAGCGTTTGCCCTTCTGGGAGGTGCAGTGGACACGTGCGTGCGCGCCTCTGCGGCATTCGATTGGACGCAGTGAGATGTTTGCCAGAGAGTATTTGGATGACCAACAGGGAGAGTGAGGAAACGCCCTCCGGGGAGGTGGCCACACCACCGTCCCTTTTCTGCATTCTCCTTCAGGATTCCCAGGCACGCGTGCACACACACCTGGTGTGTGTTCAAGCCACCGGTACAGGACTCAGGACTGTGCAGTTGGCCATGTAGAGCCAACGCCTTGACCACTGCGTTGTCAGCTGGCTCAGGTTTGTCCTTTATGGGACACACCTGCCCCCCCAACCCCCAGCCTGTGGGCAGCCAGTCGCTGACACTCGGCCTGTCGAGACTTGACTGTCCACGCCCGGCCTGCCTGTGGCTCCCGGCCTGCAGGGGACATGCTGCCTTGTTGCTGTGACTGGGCCGCCTGGAGCTGGTGCTGGTCCCGCCCAGGAGGCTGAGTGCCAGCCTGGGGCCTGACCTGACCCACCCTGGGAGCCCCTCACTGGAGAGCATTCTCACTCCTGGGACTCGCAGCCCCGCCATCACGCGGCTCTCTGCAGCACTTGGCTCCCACTGCCCCCAAATTCCTTTTCCGCTGTTTTTTCTTTTTGGTAGATAACTGGCTGACTTGTCACTGCCAGCCACGCTCAGTGTCATGCCTGATAGGACGTCAGCTCCGCAAGCTCCCCGCACTGTGGTTTCCACAGTGCTCCTCGTCACGGTTCCAGACTGAGGGCGGAAAGCTCCGCTGGGCCGCGCCCCCGGGACTCAGTGCACCTGTCCCAGCACGGCGCCTTCCACACGCATTAGGGCTTATTCATTCGCTGCGTGTTCTTGCCAGCTCTTCTGGCAGGAGGCAGTTACGCATCTAGAGACCCTTTCCCTCCCTTTCTGAGCAGACCAGAACCAGTCACCCTGCTTGGCACAGCTCTCAGTGACGCCTACTCCGTGGCAGTGTTGAGGTGGGGGGTCCTGCCCTGAGAGTGGGGCGGTGCTGCCTGGCTCAGGAAGGCTGGGGTGCACTTCAGGGCACCTGCCTCACGCTGAGTTCTCAGCTAGCCTTTCCTATCTCAGGGCCAAGGGCTGTGGTCAGAGTTTCTCGGGGTGTGTGCCACCGCGTGCGTGACAGCCGCGCTCTGCCCTGGACCGGGCCGTCGGTGCCACCATGTGCGTGACGGCCACACTCTGCCCTGTGCCCTGGGCCGGGCTGTCGGTGCCACCGCGTGCATGACGGCTGCGCTCTGCCCTGTGCCCTGGGCCGGGCCGTCAGTGCCACCGCGTGCATGACGGCTGCGCTCTGCCCTGTGCCCTGGACCGGGCCGTCAGTGCCACCGCGTGCGTGGCGGGGGGCCGGGCCGTCGCGGCCACCGCGTGTGTGACGGCCGCGCTCTGCCCTGTGCCCTGGGCCGGGCCGTCGGTGCCACCGCGTGCGTGACGGCCGCGCTCTCTTCTTGGCCAGGCCATGGATCACTTGGAGTCCTTCATCGCAGAATGTGACCGGAGGACTGAATTGGCCAAGAAACGGCTGGCGGAGACACAGGAGGAGATCAGCGCTGAAGTCTCTGCGAAGGTACGCTGGGCGCCGGGGCACCACCCCCTGGGTGGTCTGGGTGGGCAGCGTCCGAGTGAGGGCGGAGACCGTGATCCAGCCCTGTGTTGGGGACCTCACCCCAGGACGACACCTCTGCCCTTTTGTTTCATACTGTTTTTCTGTTCTGTGTTTTAATTTTTATTATTTATTTATTTGTTTATCTAAATTTGACCAGAGAGGGATATGGGAGGTGAGAAAGCAAGCTGCCAGGTTCAGGACTCGAACTGCAGTTGGCCGTGTGAGACCCAGTGCCCTTAACCACCACACCACCTGCTGACCCCATTTCTTTTCAGTTTTCTTTTTAATTCTTTTATTTTGACCAGAGAGAGAAAGTGAGAAAGCAAGCCACCAGGTCTGGGACTCAAACTGTGGTCAGCCACAGGAGTGTCCAGCACCTTAACCACCACACCTCCTGCTGGTCCCTTAATTTGTTTTATAACTTGCTGCAGGGCATATGAGGTGGCTGAGAGAAAACTCCCCCAAGGTGATGGCCGTGCTGCAGTCCCTTCTCCGTTCTCTCGGGACTTGGGGTGTGCATGCACACGTGCCCTGTTTGTTTTTCTTATTTTTTTTTTAAATTATTTTATTTAACTTTATTCATTTATTTATTTCAGTTTGACCAGAGAGGGATAGAGAGAACGAGAGAGAGAGAGAGAGCGAGCGAGCAAGCTGCCAGGTCTGGGACTTGAACCATAGTCAGCCATGTGGGAGTCCAGCACCCCTACCCATCAAGCCACCTGCCCGCCCCAGCCCTGTTTGTTTTTCAAAGTGTCGGGTCCTGTGGGATCTGGCATCTTCACTACCACACCTCCTGGCTTCAATTCGTGTGTTTAGACCTAGGCGTTCTAGGGCTGGCCTCATAGCCTTGTGGTGAGGGAGCTGCATCCCACACTGCCGGCTGTGGTCCACGTCCCGGCCCAGCAGCCTGGAAGCACAGTGGGTACGTAGGTGCCTGGAAGCACAGTGGGTACGTAGGTGCGTGGAAGCACAGTGGGTACGTAGGTACGTGGAAGCACAGTGGGTACGTAGGTGCGTGGAAGCACAGTGGGTACGTAGGTGCCTGGAAGCACAGTGGGTACGTAGGTGCCTGGAAGCACAGTGGGTACGTAGGTGCCTGGAAGCACAGTGGGTACGTAGGTGCCTGGAAGCACAGTGGGTACGTAGGTGCCTGGAAGCACAGTGGGTACGTAGGTGCCTGGAAGCACAGTGGGTACGTAGGTGCCTGGAAGCACAGTGGGTACGTAGGTGCCTGGAAGCACAGTGGGTACGTAGGTGCCTGGAAGCACAGTGGGTACGTAGGTGCCTGGAAGCACAGTGGGTACGTAGGTGCGTGGAAGCACAGTGGGTACGTAGGTGCGTGGAAGCACAGTGGGTACGTAGGTGCGTGGAAGCACAGTGGGTACGTAGGTGCGTGGAAGCACAGTGGGTACGTAGGTGCGTGGAAGCACAGTGGGTACGTAGGTGCGTGGAAGCACAGTGGGTACGTAGGTGCGTGGAAGCACAGTGGGTACGTAGGTGCGTGGAAGCACAGTGGGTACGTAGGTGCGTGGAAGCACAGTGGGTACGTAGGTGCGTGGAAGCACAGTGGGTACGTAGGTGCGTGGAAGCACAGTGGGTACGTAGGTGCGTGGAAGCACAGTGGGTACGTAGGTGCGTGGAAGCACAGTGGGTACGTAGGTGCGTGGAAGCACAGTGGGTACGTAGGTGCGTGGAAGCACAGTGGGTACGTAGGTGCGTGGAAGCACAGTGGGTACGTAGGTGCGTGGAAGCACAGTGGGTACGTAGGTGCGTGGAAGCACAGTGGGTACGTAGGTGCGTGGAAGCACAGTGGGTACGTAGGTGCGTGGAAGCACAGTGGGTACGTAGGTGCGTGGAAGCACAGTGGGTACGTAGGTGCGTGGAAGCACAGTGGGTACGTAGGTGCGTGGAAGCACAGTGGGTACGTAGGTGCGTGGAAGCACAGTGGGTACGTAGGTGCGTGGAAGCACAGTGGGTACGTAGGTGCGTGGAAGCACAGTGGGTACGTAGGTGCGTGGAAGCACAGTGGGTACGTAGGTGCGTGGAAGCACAGTGGGTACGTAGGTGCGTGGAAGCACAGTGGGTACGTAGGTGCGTGGAAGCACAGTGGGTACGTAGGTGCGTGGAAGCACAGTGGGTACGTAGGTGCGTGGAAGCACAGTGGGTACGTAGGTGCGTGGAAGCACAGTGGGTACGTAGGTGCGTGGAAGCACAGTGGGTACGTAGGTGCGTGGAAGCACAGTGGGTACGTAGGTGCGTGGAAGCACAGTGGGTACGTAGGTGCGTGGAAGCACAGTGGGTACGTAGGTGCGTGGAAGCACAGTGGGTACGTAGGTGCGTGGAAGCACAGTGGGTACGTAGGTGCGTGGAAGCACAGTGGGTACGTAGGTGCGTGGAAGCACAGTGGGTACGTAGGTGCGTGGAAGCACAGTGGGTACGTAGGTGCGTGGAAGCACAGTGGGTACGTAGGTGCGTGGAAGCACAGTGGGTACGTAGGTGCGTGGAAGCACAGTGGGTACGTAGGTGCGTGGAAGCACAGTGGGTACGTAGGTGCGTGGAAGCACAGTGGGTACGTAGGTGCGTGCCCAGCCTCAGCAGGGAGAAGTGCCGGAGCGAGGCCATCCATGCCCACTGGCCGTGCCCTCCCCTTTTCTCCTCGCTCTAGTGACCACATGTGCTTTTTGGTAGTTAAAAAGACAATGTAAAGATGCCGTACCCACGTGGCCGCCCGTACCAGGCAAAGTCGACGGCGGCAGAGCACACAGAAGACAGCCCGGCGGTCCCTAGCGTCTGACTCTGGGCTGCTCTGGGGGACAGGTGTCGGTGCCCTGGTTGGCACTTAGCACGTGGGCGTAGTTTGTAGCTGGGACCTCAGGAGTGCCCATAAGGCTGTTAAAGTTGTTGGGGTTTGCGTGCCTCATCTGGGTCTTAAACTGTCTTTTCTTTTTTCCCTAAGAATTATTTTATTTAACTTTACTTATGTAGTTTTTCATTTGACCAAAGAGGAACAGAATGAAAACAAGCCACCAGGTCCAGGACTCAAACTGTGGTCAGCCAGCACCGTTAACCACGCCGCCTGCCGGTCCCCTGTCCTATTTCTTTGCAATGGGACAGACCAGAAATGCAGCAGCACAAACACTCGTTTCTTCTCCATTCAGAACCTTGTTAGATGTCCGCTTACCCGATTCTTTTCTCTCTCTCCTCAGGCAGAAAAAGTGCATGAGTTGAATGAAGAAATAGGAAAACTCCTTGCTAAAGCTGAGCAGCTGGGGGCAGAAGGGAATGTGGACGAATCCCAGAAGATTCTTATGGAAGTGGAGAAAGTTCGAGCGAAGAAGAAGGAAGCTGAGGTGGGAGATTCTGGCCGTTTGGGCTTGTGTGAAGCCACACCTGCATTTCCTTACTTGTGTTAAGCGTGGCTTCTTGGTAGTATCAGCTCCCGTCCCGACCGAGAGGAGGGTAGAGCTCCCGCTGTCAGCCTGTCGCGCCCGCGGCGTGTTCATAGTTAGCAGTCTGCCGCCTGGCCCTGGCCCCTCGGATTCCTGTTGGCATCACCTTGTGGGCTTTGAAAGAAGTGGTGGGTGCCTGCGTGGCAGTGCTGGGCGTGTCCTGTGGCGGAGCACCGTCCCACTGCCATCCTCTCCTGCCCAGTGGCCTCTGGCCATCCCACCCCTTAGTCTCTCTCACGTGGTCAGACCTGTGCTGTTGCAGCTCTGTAGCTTTTCCGTGTTGGGTTCGTGCCCGGTGGTCTGCACTTAGTTTTCTGTGTGCCCTCTCGTGGCTGATAGCGCGTTTCTGTTAGTACTGAGTTCTGTTGTACTGTTTGGGCTCGCCGTGGCAAGGCCATCCTGGTCGCGAGCTTGTTTGGGCAGTCAGGAATAAAACCCCATGCCGGTGCGGTTGTTGTGTGGGGGTACACGTCCAGCTCAGACGGTGTTCGGGCCTTCCCTTGTGGCTACACTGCTGCCATTCCCAGGCCAGGGAGTGAGGGCTCCTCTGCTCCATGCGCTCACCAGCACGTGGCGGTGGTGGCGGTGGTGGCTGTAGTGGTGGTGGTGGCGGTTGTGGCGGTTGTGGTGGTGGAGGTGGTGGTTGTAGTTGTGGTGGCGGCGGTGGCGGTGGTGATGGCGGTGGTGGTGGCTGTAGTGGCGGTGGTGGTGGCTGTAGTGGCGGTGGTGGTGGCTGTAGTGGTGGCGGCGGTGGAGGTGGTGGTGGTAGTGGTGGTGGTGATGGCGGTGGTGGCGGTGGTGGCTGTGCTGGTGGCAGCGGTAGCTATGGTGACACAGTGGTGGTGGTGGCAGTGGTATGTTCTCAATCGGCGTGTTAGGTGTGTGGTTGTGCCCTTGGCATCTCCTTAGAGCTGTGGTTTTCAATGCACCTTTTGTCTGCATCTCTCTCCTCTTGGACGCAGCATCCGTCCAGGTGCCCAGGGGCTGTGCCTGTCTTTCTGCCTTTCTGTAGGTGCGTCTTCCATTGGCCGTGGGCAGTGAGTGCACCCCCACAGGCCAGCAGTCCCTCCCAGGGAAATGGCCAACATGGCAATCCTACCTCCATCCTTCTCTTGGGGTTTGGTCACGTACACACAGGCACCTGGTGCAGTTGTGCTCACAGCTGGAGCGGCTCAGCTGGCCGTGGAGGGCCCAGCCTCCCCAGCTACCGCCACCACTCATGGCTGTGCCTGTTCTGCCCGTCTTTTAAATTAAGTAATTCGTTTTATTTTTCTTTTGTCTTTTCTTTTTCTTGGAGAGATTTTAGCTATAGGGCCCATGTGCTCACTGGAGAGGCAGAGAGAGAGATAGAAAGCAAGAAATCACCCCAAGCAAGGGGTGATGGCCAGGGCACCATCTCTTCTCCTCCATTCTCTCCTCAGGGTTTTGGGCACACACACACATGTGCCCAAAGTGAGTTTCAAGCCTTTGGGTCTGGGCTCAGACCGTGGTCAGCCCTGTGGGAGTCCTGTCACTCCATCTACTGGTCCCAAGTTGTCCGTTTTCTTAATGTCGAGTGCTTTGCA